CGCCCTGATTGTTATCACCTTTTCTGTTCCATCCAGTGTTTCTATAAAACCCCAGGACCCCAACCCCAAGATGGGCTCACAGGCTCTAAGGCACTGGCCTGCTGGGACCCCCTTTGCCCAGCAAAGCAATAAAGCTGCTCTTTTCTTTGCTCCCCAAACTCTGCCTCCGAGTTTGAATTCACTTTTCAGGGTGCAAAGGCTGATTTTTTTTGTCAACAAGTGCCCTTCATGAGAAAATGCTCACAATATACTGTTAAACTTAAAATAAAGGGGGAGTACTGAATTATATATAGCATGACCCCAAATTTGTTAAAAATTGTCTACGCAGGGGGCATGACCAAGCCAAACCACGTCAGTACAGCAACACTGGTTCCTGAAATACTGGACACTTCTGGATCGTTTGAAAAATATCTTCGGTCTTGAACCACCCTGGGATTTATTGTCCCTTTTCTCTGCAATATCTCTATCCTTTTCCACCTTCTTTTCCAATGATCCAGCAACTGCAGGGTTAACACCAGGCCCGGAGGCAGGGTCAGGGTGGGGCTTCCAATCTGCTCCGGACCTACCCCAGCTGCCCATTCTCACTGGTTGCTGCCTTTGTTGTCCTGGCTGTTAAGTATTTTTATACATTAAGCCTGTTTAGGTGCAGAAATATACATTTTTCTGATGCCCAAACTAACAGCACTTACTCTTGCCTCCTAAGACAGAGTTTAATTTGTTTTGGAATAAAAATGCTTGTGTTCACTCACTCACTCTTTCTCTCTCTCTCATCTCCTCACTGTTCCGGTCCTTTCTCCTTCCCTCTGTCTCCCTCCCTGTCTCCTTCCCTCCCTCCTTCTCTCTTTCCTTCCCTCCCTCGCTGTTACCCACAGGCTCACCCCTCATTCCTCATGCCACAACTGCTGGAGAAGAAGTCCTCCAGGAAGAGCAGCAGGTGTGCAAAGGCTCCAAGCAGCCGCAGAGCCGGAGGTGGGAGGGTGGGGGGTGCAGAGCCCCAGGAAGGCCAGTGGGGAGAGGGGTGCAGGTCGGGGTGAAGATCTGGGCAGGATCAGGCCACTGGGCCCCTGGGAGGGCAGGATGAGGAGTTCGGACTTCATTCTAAGGGCAGTGGGAGTCCAGCGGAAGGTGTCAACCCCAGTGCCCAGATTAAACTCAGGGCAGGAGATCGTTCCTGATGCTGTGTGGAGAACGGGGGACCATGAGGGCAGAATTGGGAAGACGAGGTAGAGGCTATTTCCACCACCCCGGCAGGCGTTGATGGTGTTCAGGAGCGGGATGCCGTTGGAGGAAGTGTGGCGGCGGCTGGGGTTGGCCCTATCCCGTTTCACTGTCCTGGCGCTGTGCCCTCCCCTGACCCCACAGGTGCTGTGGGTATCATTTGATGGACACATAGCAGTGCATGACTGCCTGGTGTCCCTCCATAGTAAAACAGTGTTTCGAGGTTCACGTTGCTCGTTTTCGCGGCTGTATAGTGTTCCCTTCTGTATCAGCTATGGGTGATTTAGCCTAGCTCCCATTTATGGCCATATAGATTGTTTCCAATTATTTTTGTATGTCTTGACCTTTACAATTAAATTAGAAACCAGCAAATCCAGTTCGAGACATATATTCTGTGAAAGAAATTCCAACATGTGCACAAAACACTCTTACAAAAATGTCCATGTAGTATTACAACTTTCTCCTTCACTAATGGTTGCTTAGTATTGTGGGGGTTTGGGTTTTTTTTTTTTAATTGAAGTACAGTTGATTTACAGAGTTGTGTTAGTTTCAGGCATACAGCATAGTGATTCAGGTGTATATATATATATATATATTTTTTTTTTTTCTCTTGCTTCACCCTGAGTTAAGGGTGTGGGACTGAAAATTCCAACTTCTAATCACCTGTTTGATTCACTGGTAACTCCCATCCTAGAGCCAAACATCATCTCATTAACACAACAAAAGACAACTTTGTCACTCCTATCACAGGAAGTCCTGAGGTTTTAGGAGCTTTAAGCTAGGAATGAGGACAAAGACCAAATCTATATTTCTTCTTATAAATCACACTGTCACAGGTATACACGTTATTGGTGTTAAATATATTCACAATGTTGTGCTTCAACACACTTTGTGTGCAAAATGTAGCGTTAAGTATGTTCAGTTTTCATCCTGCAACACTGAAACTCTGCACCCATTGAACACTAACGCTCCTTCCTTCTCATCCTCCTGGCCTCTATGCTACTTCCTGTCTCTGAATTTGACTCCTCGAGGGACCTCAGACAAGCAGGGTTGCACAGTACCTCTCTTTTGGGGGCTGGCTTGTTTCACTCAGCATGATGTCCTCAGGGTTCGGCCTCATAGCCTCTGTTAGATTGTCCTTCCTTTTTATGGCTGAGTCATACTCCATTGTCTGCAAATACCACATTGCGTTTGTCCGTCATGCATGGGGACCCCTGGGGTGCCCCCTCTGGAGCACCTCCCTCTGGGCTGTCGCTGCTATGAGCCAGCATCCCTTGGGGACCCCACCTCCCGTTCACTTTTGGCTGCGCACCCAGGGTGGACTCGCTGGAGCACGTGGCAATTTGCCATCTAATCTTTTAAAAATGTTTTTAAATGCGTATGTTCTCCAAGTTTTGATTGCTGGAAAAGAAAGGGTCACCTGGACAACACAAAGAAAGCTGGATGATACTCCACAGAAGTAGAAATGCCGCGATTACACCGTGACATTCTTCTCTGTCTCCAGCCGCTACCACTTGGCCTCTTCTCTTCTTCGCAGCTCCGTAGTAAAGAGGGGACGTAGGAGGGGGATAAATACGGCTCCTCAGAGAGCGGTGTTCAATTGCCACCGCCCCGAGGAGCCGAAAACGACCAAATAAAAAAGTGGGCGGAAAATGGAAAGATTTGAAGCCAAAAAATTGAGAGAAAATGAAAAGACTACTTTTAAATTGCAGAGGAAAGTGGTATCTATGTTCCCATTTCAAATTTTAGGTGACTTTTCATATAAAATCTGGGTTAAAAAGTTATATAAAAGTGCTTTTACAAAACACGTTAGCGCTCTTCCCCGAAGCGCTGCTGGAAACGCCGAGGGGACCAATGACTGTCTTCATGTTCTCTTTTGGGGCAGAGACACTGAACAGGATCGCTTACGTTTTGTATCAATATATATTTTTCACTCTTTTCTTTTAATTTCAGTGTCATCTGGTAGCATTTTCATTTATGTCTTCTAGAAGAGAAATTACTTAGAGTTCATACTTTCACATTAACCCTTTAAAAAATTCGGATTGGAGAATAAGGGCAGCAAAAAAAAAAGCGGTTTTAATAGACAGTTTCAAAAGTTGTTTATAAAAATAACAAGGGAAGCATGAAAACAGACTTTGAAAATTCAAGCTGACCAGTTTGTAGGCATATCAGATGCATGGCCAGCTCCGTGGGAGCACCTGGAACTCTGCTTTTCGCACTCTGTGCCTCCTTAGGGTAGGGCATTAGATTGCAGACAGAAAATGCACTGATCAAAGTGATTTATTAGAATGATTGGTGCCTCTGTCAGTGGTGTTGAATACTCTCTGGAAGGGAAAGTCAGGGGTCCTCCAGCGTGGGGTCAGACCCTGAGGTGGGGGGGGTCCCAGAACCACTTGTTATGGTGGAACCTTTCAGCCTGCAGAGCCACACAGCTCGAGTGCGCAGAGACATACAGGTCTAGGACCCGCTGGACTCAGCGCAGTGTTTGATGTGGGGCTTAAGGACTATGCTTAGTGAAGAACTGAGTCCGGTTTTTAATACCCAAATGGCTGCCAGCGCAGTCTCCCCGAGTCAGTTTTTTTGTGTTAAGGTGTGTTGAAGGCTGGCAGCAGTTGTACATTTCACGTCCTAGTCTTGGGGTACGGAAGAAGGAGAGAGATGTGCTCCGAGGTCCTGGACTAAAAGAAGACTGTCATGGACAGGTGTTACGGACTGAATTGTGACCCCTCGAAAGTCTTATGTTGACGTCTTAACCCCCAAAGTGACTGTTTTTGCTGTTAAGGAGGTAATTACGAGTCAACGAGGTCATGAGAGAGGGGCTGTCATCCGATAGGACTGGTGTCCTTACAGGAAGACATCAGAGGTCTCTCTCTGCACCTGCACAGAGGAAAGGCCATGTGAGGACACAGTGTGAAGACAGCCTCACCAGAAACTGACTCAGCTGGCACTTCAGCCTGGACCTGCAGCCCCAAGAGCTGAGACAACACCTTCCTGCAGTTAAGCCCCCTGCTCTGTGGTGTTTCACTGCGGCAGCCTGGATGAACAAATACAGCAGGTTACCTAATCAGTCCCGGCTCCTTTCACAACATCCGCAGGATCTGTGAAGCAGGAGGTTCTTTAAATGCTCTGGAACCCCAAACAAAAAATTACTGTGATGGTTCCAGTAAGAGTCCACCAGTGCAGCTACAACCATCCCTGGTAGGGATGGGTGTTTACTCACAACATCACAGTGTGGGAATAGGTGGTCCAAACACCCTAGTGATGGTCTGTTCCTTTTTGCACCTTCGTATGGAAATACACAGAGAAGGGTCTGAACTGACGCTCCTTTCTGGGAAGAGGAGTGGCTTTGCCGCTGAGTCAAGGCGGATGCTTACTTTGTCCCCATGTGCTTAAAATCATTTTTACAGTGAGCGCATATTCGTGTATTACTGTTGTGTTTTAAAAGAAGACAATAAAAATATTGAGGGGGATAAAAAGGTGATACTGGCAGCTGCATTGGAGGAGAGGAATGATGCATGTGAAGAAAGTGTCTTGAAGGCTATGGAAGGAGGCCAGACCAAAAAGGATGGTGGTGGTTTCCCCACTGCCATCACCAGTCTATTCTTACTGCTGCAGCCAGCGTGGTTTTGCAAAACCACAAATAAGATCCTGTCTGCCCTGCTTCAAGTCCTTCAGGGACTTTGATATCCTCAGGGAGCCGGCAGAATCCTTCCTGTAGCTGGGCAGGGCGCTGCCTGATTTTCCCTTCACCTGTTTTCTTGCCTCCAACTTTCCTGTCCTTTCCTGAGCTTCTCAGAGATGCCGGACTCTTACCTGCTCACCACCTTCTCATCTGCTTTTCCCCTTGCCAGAGCAGTTCTCTCTGTGCCGCTAGAAAACTCCCACTCACCGTCAGATGTCAACTTCAATGTTACCTCCTCAGGAAATGCCCCTACAGCAGCAGCCCGCCCCCTCTCCGTCCAAGGCTGGGTCCACTTTCTTGGCTGCATCTCCTGCCCCTCCCCCACTGCTCCTTTAACACACTTTTCAGTTGTCATGACACTTCATCATGGCATCATCACCTTACTGCTGCCTCTCTTGCTCACCACCTGATCCTCCGGTCCAGGAAGTGCCTGTGCATCATAGAGGTTTAATAAGCACACATTAAATGAATGACAGATGGTCAAAAGAAAGGTAAGATCAAGTATATTCTAAAGCAAAGCTCTGAAGTGCTCTGATGTTTATGAGTGAGGAGGAGCTGCTGCAGGCAGTGGGGCAGCGGTCAGGGAGTAACTGGAGTGTCAGTGCCAAGGCGGGCAGGACACGGGACTGGTTGTGAATTCATAAAGCGGGAGCAGTCACCAATGCCAGGTGTCGAAGGGTCAGCCAAGACAAGGACAAGAGGTGTCTATCACTAACTCAGTGATGGAGAGACCGGTGGGGACTCTCTTGAGAGGGGTGTAGAAGGCAAATTTTAAGGTCAAGCCCTCTTCTTTTGTGGGTGTGGTAAATTAGAATGAGTACAGGCATGGGGTGTAACATCCTTTCAACATTACAACATGTTTACCTTATGCAAAAATGTCTGATTTTGCTAACATAATCCAGTAACTTGTAAAAAGGTTTGAAAAGTCAACTCTTACAGGAAATACTGGACACTTGCAGCCACTACTTCTGAAGACATTTGGGTTTTGGATATTCTGGTTATAATTTATAAGGCTTGGATGACCAACAAGAACACAGATTTGACTGTAGCTGTCTTAGCGAAACATAAGCAGGACTGCGCGCGTTGCCAGCAGCTCTGATTTGGACCACGAGGTGGCGCTGCTCCACTTTGAAAAATTTCAGAACAGAAAAGCACGT